TGTGCTGCGGATGGTGTAGATTAAAAGTGGGAAGAGCGAATCAAATAGGTTGAGATGTCGTGTCTGGCAGGTAAGGCATTGTATTACCCAGCCTGACACCTACGTAGCCCTTCTCGTCAGCGCTAACTATTGCGAGGCAGTGGCAGTCTGGTGGAAGACTACTACCCCGCGTTGCCCCATCTCTCTAGACCTCAGCTCCCTCAACTTCTGTACCATCGCAATAATGTCTAAATACACTTATCAACCTCTCGACAAGCCAGATGCAGAGTTCCGGCTACTTCGAATCAGCAAAGACCGTCTCACCGATCAGCCGCAATGCAGCATACAGAAGTACAGCCTTAAGTACAGTCTTATAAACTGCCCTGAATATACCGCTCTTTCATACACCTGGGGTGATCCGACGCCGGCTCGCAGTATATCAATCGACGGAGCCAATATCGAAGTACGCCAAAATCTTTTCAACTTCTTACACGCCTATATTACGGAGCCATGGGGCATGGCCGATATAAACAAGCCCAGTTTTTATTGGATCGATCAGATATGCATCAACCAGGAGGACTTGGTTGAGCGCAGTGACCAAGTCCGTATCATGGAAAAGATCTACAAAAAGGCAAAAAACGTGCTGGTATGGTTAGGGACTGCCCCTAACATGATGGAGGCTGCGCGCTTGTTGCAAGACGCGGCAACTTCCGGGTACGCTCTTTTTAGTCTGATATCCCACCCATATTTCTCAAGGATATGGATCGTCCAGGAGATTGCGCTCAGTTTGAAATCACCCCTCGTTGTGTGCGGAGGGTATGAGATACACTGGGATTGGTTACGCTTTGCGAGTAGACGCACACAGCGAATATTACCGACAACCGCCTATGATACCATATGTGAACACAACCCTGTTCGAGAATGGCGTACTCTGCAACGATGTATCTTTTTACATTGTGGGGGCAATTGCCATGATCCTCGCGACAAAGTCTACGGATTGTTAGGGCTTACACCTGGAAGATGGCGAGTGCGTGTTGATTACACAAAAGAAGTGGTTGAGGTATATCTCGATGCGGTGGCGGCCCTTTACGAAGAGTTATTCGACCTTCAAGATTCAGAGTGCCGTTATCCAAAAGAGATAACAGATCTGGCAAATCCAGGGGCCTATCGGAAAACACTGCATACTCTGGCGAAAGCAATGGGTTTCTCCCAACTACAGCTCAATGGCGTATATTCATTTCTCCAATGTTGCTCAAACATATACTTGAGCACCAAGATTCGAGATGTTCAGTATACATATACGGGTCGTATATATACTAGAGTACGGGCGGAATCATCTTGTCAAAAGATCCTTGCGTCAGCAGCAGAAGAAGAAGAAGAAGGAGAAGAAGAAGAAGAAGTCGAGGTCAGTTGGGGATCCATCACGGCTACGAGGCGAAAACCATTGATGCGCGATATAATCCCAGAGATGGGCTTGCAATTGGCAGGTACGACTGCGGAAAGCACAGCTGACCAAAGTGGCAACTCAGTACCAGCTATCTCACTAGATCGCTGGTGGTACAAACATGAAAGCCAAATACACTACATTTACTGTGGTTAATGATCAGCGAATACATCACGCATGAGGAAAAAACTGTACATTCACGAGATCAGGCTCTATTTTACTAGAAGCAACATCAAAACATGGCGAAGCGAAAGAATGCAAACACTACATGTACCCTCATTTCCAAAGTGGCATCGAAAGAACTCACATAATTACAACCGTCAATTTGCTACTAAGCTAATCCCACCCCCCAATCTCACCTCCTACTCAAAAACCTTCCTCCACAGGCGTCCCTGCGCTTACACAATACCCTTCTCATTCCCCACAACATTCGTCTCATTCCCACTGCTAGCATCGCCGTGCAAGTACGCCGCAAGACCAATCTCATGATTAATCTCGGCCATGCGCTCCTGATCCTTCAGCGCCGCACCCTCACTACCAAAGATGGTGTCCATCTCCTCAAGTGTCAAGCGCTTCGTTTCAGGGACGAAGAACCAGATGAAACCCGCTCCGAGGGTAGTTACGAGTCCGAAAAGGACGTAGGTGCCCCAGGTGATGTTTTCGAGCAGCTCGGGCGTGATTTGTCCGATGATGAAGTTGTTCATCCAGTTGGAGGAGCCGCCGAGGGCTGTGCCGTAGGGGCGGGTGGATAGCGGCCAGATTTCTACGTTACACGCGTTAGCATCAAACCTATAATAAACGTTTCGAGTGAATAGGGATAGAGCTTACCGGCGATCAAAATCCAAGCGCAAGGACCCCACGAGTAACCAAAGTGGATGACAAACAACCAGACCATAACCACGGCTGCCCATCCCGCCGCACGGTGGTTCTCGAAGTTATCGAAGTTCTTCGCGAGAATGACGGCGATGACGAAGTGGGAGAAGGCCATGCCAAGGGCTCCGACTGCTAGCACAGGTTTACGGCCAAGCTTGTCGATGTAGAGTACTGCGGGGATGGTGGCGAGGAACATGACGATGCCGACGACGCCTGTCGCGAGGAGGGACTGCGTGGTTCCTTGGAGACCGATTTGTTCGAAGATTTGAGGCGCGTAGTAGAGGACCTGGGAAGTGGAAAGTCAGCATGAGTTCCGAATGTAGATCATCAACGAGACCCGGGATTGTACGTACGGCGTTGATACCAGTCCACTGCTGGAAGAACATAGTGACAGTCGCGACGATTACCCTCTTGAACATAGCCTTTGTCTTGAAAAGCGAAGCAATGGCAACAAACTGAAGCTTGAAGATGTTCATAGTAGTCTGCTCGCGAAGATGCGGGAAAGCTTCAGCAACACTGCGCTTCTCGAACATGGACTGGGCCTTAATTTCCAGGAATTCCAACTCGATGAGCTCGTGGTCGGCAGGGAGATTGCGGAGAGAGGCCAGGTTGCTCCTCGCTTCATCTTCGCGTCCGTGGTGTACCAGCCAACGTGGGGAGAACGGCATCCAGACCATTCCGATGATGAGGACGAATGCTGGGACGAGCTGAAGGCAGATGGGTACGAGCCATGCGGCGTTGGATTGGGTCTCGATCGTAGTACCTCCGATGTAGTTGGTACCGTAGTTGATCCAGAAACTGATCATGATGCCGAAGGTGATGGCAAGTTGTTGCAGTGCAACCAAAGCACCACGAACCTCACTGAGACGCGTTAGCATGTTTGTTAGGATACTTGTCTTTGGATATACTTACGGAGGCGCACATTCACTGTTGTACATAGGGACGATGACAGAAAGACCACCGACTCCGATACCACTAAGATTGGTTAGTAAATGTTGAAAGGTCTGGGTTGATGGTTCACTAACGTGATGAAGCGACCAGCCAGAATCTCTTCATGACCACCGGAAATCGCAGTAATCTGAACCACAACACCAATGATGAAGATTGCTGTAGCGATCAAGATACCGTACTTGCGCGACATTGCCTCGGCAACGAAACCAGACATGACGGCTCCGAACCAGGCTCCAAGTTCCAGAATAGCAGTGAGCCATCCCTTTTGTGTTGGGTTGTCAACGTAGCCGTCGGTTTCTACTCAAGGTAAGCGCAAGTTGATGGTGGAAGTTGCAAGTACGTACGTGCTCCGAAAGATGGCATAGCCAAAATTCCACTGAACATGCCCTGATTGTATCCGTACAATACACCTCCGAGACAGGCAAACAAGGCAATCAGGAAGACCTTGCCGTTCTTCACAAGAGCCCTAGGACCACTGGCGCCCATCAGGGCCTGGCGCCTTTGAAGCGCGGCATCGAAACCAGATGCACCACCGCCGCCTCCAGCCATGATGATGCTCGATTACCGATAATCGAAACGTTCGAAGAGTTTGGCGAAAGTCTTGAACAAAAGCCGTCTGAGTAGTACCCCAGATTGCCAAAAAGCTTACGGTCTTTTACTCGGAGACCCCAGGCTTATGTATGGGGGGCCACAGAAGCCCGCACCACCATGTGCATAATCATCCAGTACCCCGGTGGCCGTACCGCAGCACTGTGGGGAAACAGGCCTCCATACTCTTTCCAGATCATCGGTAATAAGAGCTGTTTAACCCCTTAAGCATACCAAGAGGAAACGGCTGCTGGGCAGCATGTTAAACGACGGCTTGAAGAGCGCCAAGCCAAGGCTTCGGGCACACTAATTGGACACGGAAAGCGATGTAAGCATCCACCATTCTTGGCAGTCATGTGCCGTTCGTGCTTCATCCGCCGCTGATGTCGTTCGGTTGCTGTGGGCCGGGTGCCAAGGGCTATCAGAGGAAAGCTTTAGGCTAAATTGCCCGTCATCCGTGAATTCGTAGCAGCGGAGCGCCGACATGACGAGGCTCCGAGGAATCCTTTGACGGTTGCGACGGCAGTTTCAATAGTGCGATCGAGTCGTGAGAGGTGCGGACCATTGTTTCTACACGTGTAGCATCATCGACTTCCAAATGTGGTGGCAACTGAATCTTAGAAATCAGATGCGAAGGCTAAAGGCGGAACGCTGATGCACGTAGAAGGCATACCGCGCTTGGCATGGCGCTCAACTGATCGCGAACAGCCAACCCGATGTCCGAGTTGTATAGCCATTCGGACGAAAGACTGGTCGAAGCAGGAAAGTGCTTTCCGATGAACAATAGTCATGTTTCAGGCATCGATCTCCTAGAGCTGCAGCTTACGCGGAAGCAGTTCGCATGTAGTGGCGGTAGCCTTTGGTCTAGCACGGTTGGCAGGAGCACCATCGACCCGCATTGGAACTTTGCGGAAAAATCACGAGAAGCCCATCAAAAATTTCCGGTGGTCGAGTTTGTCCATTCGATTCGAGTTGGACGTCGTGGGTGCCCAGGTGGAGTGATGAGAGACGGAAGCCAAGAGTGCGGCCCCATAGGTATGGGGAAAGGGCCGTGGATGCCCCACGCGCGAAAACGCGTACGACGCGCTTGCCAACAAACGTGACTTTACGCCAACGACCAACTTCAACCCACGCTGCCGAATATTAATCATCGGCTCATACAAACATGGCGGTCTCAATATTGCAGCGGAAGCGCGACTTTATCTACCTCGTCTTCTTCCTCGTGCACCTGCCGGTGATGCTAGGTAAGTACCGAGAAGGAATATTCAGGCTGGAGGCTCTGTGATGCTACAATAGCATAGCAAGATTACACATGCGAGGGCCCGATATTTTGAATCATCTCCTCTATCAGTCGTTCCGATGCTTCCGGACTCGATATAGCACATCACCGCATACATGAATGGACTGACCAATACTAACTGAACAAACAGCCTTCGACTTGACAGCCTACTACCCAATCCAAATCAAGCCCCTCTGGATGTCGTCGCTCCGCGACTGGTACATATCCAAATATCGCGACCGCTTCTTCTACAACGCCCCAGCCTGGTTCCCCGTTCTGACCTTCCTTGAACTTGTCTACCACCTCCCTCTCACTCTCTGGGCTATCCCTGCCTTGCTGCGTAACGATCCACGCATTCCTCTCGCTCTGCTAGTCTTCGGTCTAGAGACGAGCTTGACGACGTTGGTTTGCCTCGCGGAGATGCTGAGTTGGGAGGAGTTGACGTCGGTGCAGAGGGGCGCGCAGGGGCTGGGTGGTATGTATGGAGGGTATCTGGCTGCTGGTAAGTGCTGTGCCTGATGAGAAATGTCATAGAAGTTGTTCGAGGGGAATATAAGCTAACGCGATTAGGTATCTTCATGTCGCTGGACTGCTATGCGAGGCTTGATCAGATGATTGCGAAGCAACATCGAGGATTGGAGCCGGTGACGAAGAAGAAGTTGTAGAACCGTGGTACACTTGCAGGGAACACTCGAGGCTTTGACAATAACTGTACCCAGCTGTCACTCGGTACAACCGGGAGTTGGGTTTGTGTACCGTTGCCTGAAAGCAACTTCCCACACGGATAGTGCACTGCAATCTTTAGCGTAGAAGAGGAACAGCAGTTGTACAAAGTACGTAGTGCGCTATAGTCGATTATATGTGGGTGACCACCAAAGCTTTCTCACCGGACGTAGACTAGGCGAAGAGACGAAATAAATTAGGCAGGAACAGTCCTCCTTCACTAAACCTCACTCCCCAAGCATGGTATTACGCAAGACGTCACTTCACATGAGAAAAAAATCCAATCAGGGACTCTGTCATTGCTGGCATTCGAAAAGCGCACTAGTCGTACACCCCTCTGCCCAAATGTGATCTAATAATACAGTAGTGTCGTTATGCCCTGGCGCCACGTGCTCCCCCAGCATTGGATGCACTATTTTCCGTTATACCGATCCTAAAACGTGTGTCTACTATAACGCCACACCCGTGCAACAGCCTCGCCAATCGACATCCAGGTCATTCCTCATACGTATCCCAGCCTCAACGCCATAAACACAACACGATTTAACAAAGGAGACAACACAAAAATGCCAACAAACAAACGTGATGTGAACGCCAAAAACAGCCATACAGAAAGAGAAGAGATAGTGAGACGAGCAGCCTCGTACGACACGCCCGTTATCGTGTACACCCCTGATTGGACGAGACAGTCTCTGCACTCTACCGTAGATAGCATCTGACAACGTCTGTCGGATTTCTTGAGCGACTCGACGACATTGGTGGTAGGCGGCGAGGGTGTACCGGACGCAGAATGAACTGGTTGAGGCAAGCATGGTAATACATGGCATATGCAACTGGATTCGGACTGCAGATATCGGTAGGCTGCACATGTGTTTTCGTGCTGTGCGTCTGATGTGGTACAAGGCCTTGATGGGTTCGTCTCGGTAGGGCTTGGTGGTGTCCATGGGTCATATGTTGAGGATTGACCGTGCTACGTTGAGATGCGCGGAGGTCCGCCGGAGGTGATACCGTTGAAGGGTGGAGAGAAGTAACTTTTGCGAGACAGAAAAGAATTGTTTTGGAAGACGCAAGGATAGATATCGAAAGCAAAAATAACCCAAGAAACGCTGCTCTTTTTTTGTGTATGTTAGTAGAATATTTTGACCATCTTTTCGTCGGCTTCCTCTTCAGCCAGCATCCACAGCACGTTGATCTTTTTGGCCGTACCGCATCTCTCTTCGAAGTCTTCACCAAGCTTCATGATGCAGCTAAAAGCCAGACTCCATCCGTTGACACCAGCGGCGTAAAAGGTCTCTGCAACTGCAGCCTCGCGGCTACCACATTTGACGAGCTTGTAGATCTGGCGGCCGTTGAAGTGGGCGCCGTGAATGAAAGGATCGGCTGCTTGGCAGGTGCTGAACACTAGACAGTAGACGAGAGGTGTGCTTTCAAGTGCTTCTGACTTGGCCTCAGTGCATTGATGGCATGTTCCCGTGTCATAGCCATCATCCACAGGATGATCAGCAACACACTCAAAGATGTCGTCGTCGGTCGGTGTCGTCATGGCAGCTGAAGCCCACACTTTGGGCGTTTCAAGACTCACTGGCCTGGCGTTATGCAGAGGGAGTAGTTCACCCGGTGCCCGTCTGTTTGCCTCCAGTGTCTTGACACTCCTAAGAAGCGCTTTCGTAGGTTTCTCATACCAAATCTCAGAGCTTCCATACTTGATCAGCCACTCGTACTCCTTGTAGTCTGCCGCGCTAGCCGGATGAAGTGTCATGAAGACATTGCGTCTGAAAGGCCCAATGCGAAGTACGCGGCTGGCGAAGTCGGAGATGGACTCGTTGGAGTACTGCACTTGAATGAACTGGTTCGGCGTATGCACTTCCTCTCCTGCATTGTACGGGTTCATGGTCAACGCGGGTGGAGGAGGCCCGGGTGGCGGGGGCGGGGGCTAGTATTGATCAGCAATGCATGGATCTGACCGCGTTCTGAACGTACCGGGGGAGGAGGTGCTGAGGTCATCATCGGAGCGTTCATGAAATCAGGTAAGCCTGGTGGTGGTGGAGGCTGCTATTGTCAGCTTACGATCATTCCGCAATGGGAATGTGGTATATCGCATACAGGAGGTGGAGGAGGAGGCGGCTAAAGTATACAGTCAGATCAAGTTCTCGTTCTCTGGTATGGTTTCAGACTCACTGGATGAGGGATCTGAGAATTATATCCTCCGAGGCCAAAGTGACAATCAGCCGGGGGCGGCGGCGGCGGTGGTGGTGGTGGAAATGGAGCAGCTTGTCCTGCAGTAGACACTCCTGGACTGAGGTCCTCGTGCTTCTTCATATTTTCACTTTGTGTGTCCGAACTGAGAGACCAATCTGATCCCCGGCGTTGCCGTGATGACCCACTCTCAGTCATCCGATCTTTCATGTCCTCCTCTGTTGGTATCGATGGAAGACTGCGTTCGTAGGAGCCGTGTTCGACTGGAGAGGAGGTTATCTCCATGGCAGAACGGGCCTCTTGTTGATACGGATTGGTATTTGCTTGTTTGCCGTTTGGTCTGGGTTCCGGAAGCGGTCGGGATGACGAAAGAATAGGCATTGAGGGCGGATGCTCGACGAAGACTATCTCATCCGATTCCATCTCGTGAAGATGTGATTTCTCGACAGTGACTGATGGTTGAAATGATGAGATAATCGTCTCGATATTTATCAAGATGGCTGTTACACGTTATGGGTCGTAGGGGCACAAGAATGACATAACCAAGTGATACACTGGACTAGACGATCCGAAGTATGGGAAGCTATATGCAAGTGAAATGCGCGAGCCAGCGCAGACGGAGCTGTGATCAAATAACTTCTCGAGCCCTGTAGGGAAAGCAAGGCATATGGAATATAGCTTGCCAGAAGACTGTTTGTGCCACCAAATGTTTACCGAAAATCAGGTCAACCGCAAGGATGTTAGCGGAAGTATGGGCCATTGGATGAGCTCACATACTCCTGGGTCCCAGAGGTGTGGTGCAGATCACCCTGTCAATACTGGGTAGTACTGCTTTTGTCCACGTAGCACTGCAGGGTGCGTGGCGGAAGGACTGTGCCCACAAGTCTGAAATGGTCTATCTTCCCAATTTGATCGCCTCAAAAATAAGACAACCGTGCTTTGTACCATCTTCAGGCAGCCTGTAACATGTTACGTTGCATAGGATAGTTCCATTCGATGCTCCTGTTCGTTGCTTCACTTTGTGGGGAAGGCTGCGGTAGCATGTCTCGAGTCCATGCTGCTAAGCGTCGATTCCACAAGGGCGAACTAAAGTCCGCTAGCATAGCTGCGGCTAGCTGGTAAGTACATACGGAGATCCTGGCTATAATTCGAGGCTGTCGGCGCTTGGACGATATCCTGACGATGCCGGTTAAGTTATACAGTTCGAGTCAGCCGGTTCCTCTGCCGCTGAATCCTTCAACATTACGAGCTTGCATGCATTCCACTGAGAACATGTGATCAAGACTTGGGTTTCCACTTGTTGAAGCAGCTGATAACAACCAGGCAACCCTTCACAAGTAGGCGGTGAAGAGGTTCAAAGTTCAACCACAATCGATGAAATGAGCAAGCGGTCTGCTAGCGATAAGCCAAGTGAACTCGAGCATATCTGACGCTTGAGAGTTCAGCCATGCATGTTACCACCCTCTGAGGTACGATGCCGAGAACCACTGCATAATGGGTCGGCCAAAGACGGGGGTGCCGGACATGGTTGGTGCGGATCCGGGTTCCCCTCGTTCTAACCGTTCCGACGGGCCAATTCTTGATCCCGGCGTAAAACGCAAAGATCTCGATGATAAGAAGTGTTCGTGAACTTTATCGTCGAACTGTAGATACAAGAACGAACCGAGCCGTTTTGTCTGTGGATAGTATGCGGGAACATCAGCCATATGCAGTGCTCATGTAGGCGAATCGCTTGTCACACCGCATCCTCATTCCTCTGTGCCAATTAGCAGCCTTTGCGCAGGGTAACTCTGAGAATTTGAGTGATGAAACTCTACAGGGAGCTGCTCAGGAACCTAATGTACATAATTCCGAGACCATGTAGTACCCGGCCTCAAATGTAATCGTGGGGGCTGGGTATATGCAAGGTACACTATAGTCAAGACGAGGCTGAGCATAGTAGAAGCTCATTGGAGAGTGAGCCATCGTGTTCGACTGGTAGGACATCGACAAGGGCTCATCGACGATCAACGATAAGCCCTGAATAGAGTCGCGTAGCAACTGTCTGAAGCGTTCCTCATGACATTAGTAGCTACTTTCACCGGTGCCACAGATTTGTGATCCCAAACGGTACAGCCAGATGGATGCTCAACAAAGTGGAGCAGGATTGATTGGAAGGCCACTGTGCGTCAGTTCTGGACGACCAAATATACTTGAATAGAAAGCTGTTCGAGAACGATACCACCAGTGGGGGGTCAAGGAAAGTCCTAGTAGGCTAGTGATCAGCTTGACGGGCTTGGTGACGCGGGACGCCGGAGGAGACCTCGGGATCAAGAGACCGCGACGGCCTACGAGAACTATTTCGAAACCGTTGAACAGAAGAATGAAGCTTGAAAAGACCGATAGGAAGAGTAAGTGAGGCAGGCGCGTGGAAGCCCTGTGATGATCTTCATGCATGTTGCTTGGGCAAGAACAAGCGACGGCGGCAAGAGAGACTCGGGAATACGCGTAGGAGTGCGCCGATGACAGAAAATCAGAAATGCGAGAAGGAAGTGATGCGAGTAAGACTCAGAAAGACATGATGTTAAAATAAAGATCGCAGGACCTCGGAGCCTACTCCAGGCAACCTTAGGACGGCCATGTGGGTTCACACGTGACAGCATCACGACGCGCCTGGCGCCAAGCCCTGGAAGCACGATCCGTATCGTCATCGCAAGCTCGCAGCTCGCGACACCACGGCGAAGCCATCTCCACACCACGACATCCG